TCAGGTAGTAGCCGAGGAACTTACCGGCGCAGACGCCGAAGGTGCACTTCTCCGGGTTGAAGCGCATGCGACACGACCTTGCGGTCTCGAAGACCTTCCGGAGGTGTGCCGTGTGGTCGTCCTCCGTGCCAGATTTGACGATCATGTCGTCCATGTATACTTCGAGCATGTCGCCGATTTCGTCGTGGAAGACACGGTTCATCATCCGCTGGTATGTGGCCCCGACGTTTTTGAGGCCGAATGGCATCACGTTATAATAGTAATTTCCCGACGCCGTCATGAAGGCCGTGCTCTGTTTATCGTGTTCGGCCATCGGGATCTGATTGTACCCCGAGTATGCGTCCATGAAGGACAAGAGCTTGAAGCTCGCGGAGTTGTCGACGAGCTTGTCGATGTTGGGGAGGGGGTAGGCGTCCTTAGGACATGCCCGATTGAGATCAGTATAGTCAACACACATGCGCCATTTTCCATTATTCTTTTTAACGAGTACAACATTGGACAGCCAGGTTGAATACCGGGCTTCCAAAATAAAGTTTGCCTCTAGGAGGTCTTTTACAGCTTTTTCGGCTGCTGCCGATTTTTCGGGGGACTGGCGACGCCGGCGTTGCACAACGGCCTTTGCGGTCGGGTTGATGGATAACTGGTGGCAGGCGACCTCGGGGTCGAGTCCGGGCATTTCTGCGACGCTCCAGGCGAAGAGGCCGGCGTTCTCGCGGAGGCTGGCTTGGAGTTGTCGTTTCGCGAGGTCTGGGAGTCTGGCACCTATCCTCACGGTTCTGCTCGCGTCTTCCCCGAGGGGGATGAGTTCGAATTCTCCGTCCGGGATGGGGCGCGCTGGGTGTGAGGGATGCCCGTTGACTTCGCTGGTCTTCGTTTCGTGGTCGAGCTCGTCGGTGAAGCGACTGTCGAGTTCCACGGATCCGACTAGCTTCGTTTGTTCGCCTTTTGGTGTTGTGTTTGGAGTTGTCCTCTTGGTCGCTGGAGCGATGGAGTCTAGGCCTTTCAGCGCGGCCTCAAAACACCTTCGGGCGGCCTCGATGTCTCCGTTGAGGGTCACCACGGCCCCCCGTCTTGTGTAGTATTTCATCTTCAGGTGGACGGTGGAGGGTACCGCGGTGAGTTCTGCTATCGTTGTCCTGCCCAGGATGCAGTTATAGAGGGATGGGCATTCGATGACTAAGAAGCGGATGCTGATTTCCCTAGCTGTTTCCTCTTCTCCGAAGGTGACTTTCAGTTCCACGTATCCCCAAGGTCTCGTCGTCGTCCCGTTGAACCCCTGAAGGTCGGAGCCTACGTAGGGGGAAAGGTTGGATTCGTTGAGCCGGAGAGTTGTGAACAGGTGCGCGTATATGATGTCAACCGAGCTTCCGCCGTCGACGAGGAGGCGCCTGACGTCGAAGTTCGCCATCCGTGCACGTACGAGCAGGGGTATGTTGGAGTTGGGGGATCCCCCAGGGAGTTCCTCGAGGTAAAATGTGATCGGGTTGGATCGGCCTTGGAATTTCTCGAGCGTGCTCATTTTACCGGAGTTGTTCGCGATGAGTTCGTCGAATTTTCTCTTTACGGATCCTATGGACAGGCTCCTCGTGGCTCCATCAGAGATGACCATGGCTCTAGCGAAGTACTCCCATCGGCTGGTTGGTCGGATTGGCTCGTCGATTAGGTCGGGTTCTTCGGGAAGACCGAATTCTCTGTCCGCGAACCAATCCTCTGGGCGGCCGACACACAGTGCGACTTGGAGCCTGCTGTTGTCCTCTGGTGAGGGAAGTTCCTCGACCTTCTTGGCCTCTGGGGCCTCTTGCCTCGGTGGTTCGCCTCCTCGGGTGTATCTCTTTAGGTGACCATCTTTGATCAGAATTTCGATCGCGTCTTTGAGATGAATGCAGTCTTCTGTCACGTGCCCGTGGCTCCTGTGGAATCGGCAGTATTTCGATTTGTCCACGTTGGGTTTGGGGGATGTTGGTCACGGAAACCGGACACCTCCCTGTACGAATTCGGTTTTGGCGCATTCGGCCAGTATGCGCTCGCGGGAAGCGACTAAGGTCGTGTACTCTGTGAATCGGCTGGCAGGGCCGCGCGGTTCGCGTTGTTCGCGGGACTCGCGAGGGCGATCCTCGCGGCGGAGGTCCCCTCCCCGTCGATGGCTCGAGGCTCCGTCGTCCCGGTGCCCGCGGGGGGCCTCCCTGTCTCGGGTGTCTCGAGCGGAGTTGGCCGCTTGTGTTTCTTCGAACCGGATATAATGCGCGGCTCTGTCGAGAAAATCTTGGAGGGATGTTGGCCGGTGTATGCCTACGGCCTCGTAGAACTTGGAGCCGTGGCGTAGACCCTGTTCCATTAAGTAGCGCTTCATCTCGTCTGACGTCGTCACTTGCACTGCTTCTCGAGTGAATCTTTCGATGTACTTTCGGAGGGGTTCGTCGGGGCCCTGGATGATCGCCCCGAGGACGGCCTCCGTCTTCGGGTGGCGTCGGGACGCCGTAAAGTGTTTGGAGAACAGGTCCTTCAAGACTCTCCATGATGTAACTGATTCGGGCTCCAGACTTTTATACCAGGTCATGGCGCCTTTCCTCAGAGTTGTTGGGAAGAGCCTGCACTTGATAGCTCCCCGGACGTTTCGGTAGTCGAGCATGGTCTCGATGTCCTCTAGGTGATCGTCCGGGTCGGAGGTGCCGTCGTACGTCGACAGCGTCGGTGGCTTCTCCATCCCTTGAGGTATGGGGGCAGCCATGATTTCTCGGGACAGTAGGGTGCGGTAATCGTCCTCGTCGCTGGGTGTCGGGTATCGATGGGGAGACGAGCCGTTCAAAGTAGGGCCCTGGTTTCGGGTTCTCGACCTCCTGCCTGAGTTTTCGCCTCGGGGATCCGCGGTCGGGATCGCCGCGGTGCTGTGGTTCCTCTCACGAACTTGTCTTGCTGGGGACCTGGTGCGTTCTCGCGCTACCTGTGCGCGGTGCCTCTCCAGCCGTGGCCGGCGATTTCTGGGTCGAGGTGAGGGACTCCTCGAACCTCCGTTATGGTCTTCCCGCGGGGGGTACCTCGGAGGGTCGACGCGTTCCAATGCTCCAATTCTCGCGTTTTGCTGGGCCAGCAGCTGGTTCGTCTGGTTGATGGCCGCGAAGAGGGCGGCCACCGTCGGGTCTGCTCCCGCCGGGATGGGAAAGGGTTGGAATGCTGGCGGGCCTGGGGGCCGGTGGTCGGCCTGAAGGGGTCGCTCTGCGGATGACGGCGAGGCAGTTTGGCCGTCTCTCTCATCGGTTTCCGCCTGACGCGTCGTTTCCGTCTGCTTGTTTCCGTTGGTGGCGACGTTGAGCGCGAGGTCGTGCGGAGTACCGTCGCGGTGTGGGCTAGCCATTATCGTGGAGTGTTGGTGAAACTTTGGTTTTCTGCTCGGAGTAACGGGGAAGTTTCTGTTCCCACAGACGGCGCCACTGATCTGACCTGATCAAAAGGAGATCACGGGCTGGCCACACTCTGTTGGACTGCTGCTTGCTCGTCGGTGATGAGGAAGAGAAATTGGGGTGTACCTGCAAAACACTCTGATGCCAAAGTGAGAAGTTGGGCAAAGCGATGGCGAAGTACAGAAAGAGGGATAAGAAGTGTGTTACCTGACCCTCTTGAGGAAGAGGGTATTTATAGAGAGACCCCAGCGCTGGGCCAACAGTCACTTGTGTTGGGCTGGATGGCCAGGCCACACTCAGGTGACTGCTAGGGCTTACATGGAGTAGTGAAGACCAGGACGTGGTCTTCGCCCTAGTCCAACCGTCCCTAGATCTCCGGAAAGTGGGTTTGACCGGCTCTTTCGGAGGTGGGCAGTTGTATGGTGACGTGTCCCCGCGGAGGGGAGCACGTGGAGAACGTGCGTCGGGCACGTTGTCCTCCCCGCGGAAGGGAGCTCGCGAGGTTCCCCAGAGAGCGTTGGTCTCCCCGCGGAGGGGAGCGCGAGGATGGGGAGGAACCAAGGGTCTCGCTTCGACGCGCCGGGGTGTGTCCTGTTCGGCCGATAAGAGGGGACGTCGAGATGCTGTCGGGCGCGTCGCCTGTGGCCGGTGGCGTGCTCTGCCCGTCCTGCGGGACGCGCGTGCCCGGCGTGGCCAGTTCACTTATTGGGCCGTGCGTGGTATTGGGCTGGACCGAGGTCGGGCCCAGACCAGAACAGTTCCCATATACACCCTTGAAATTTCATACTTTTATATTTTATAATTTTTTGACTTTTTATCAAATGGTTAATATTCCACTGCATACAAACTTCACGGGGACAATCCACTCGAGTGATATATCTTACTATTTAAATTATATTCTACATATTTAGTCTTAAAACTACGCATTAAACACTCAACCGAATCCAACCCGCAAATACCCGTCAGCCGCACAACAAATTTTAATATAAATGAATTCAATATTATCATCACCACACCTTTGTTGTTAATTACGTAATCATCTTTATTGCCATTTGCTAATAATGGGGTGCATAAGATGGCTCTATGAAGTCAATGGCGTGTGTGTTTGGGATCTTCTAAGAAAAAAACACAAATTGGATAGAATGAAAAGAAAATGACAATTACTAATTTATAGAATATACTATTTAAATATTAATGAATAATAATAAACATCATAAATAGAACATGACATGAATCCAACGGAAGGAACAAAGTGAAAGAAGCGAAGCAAAGAAAACCACAACAAACACAACAAGAACAAAACAACATTGTCTAATTTCAGTGTTTTCTTAATGTTAATTTTCTAATTTCTAAAATCTAAATTACCACATTACTAGTTTGCCGTTGAAACCGCGAAATTCCCTCTCCTGTATCTCTCCTCTACTCTTTTATTCCTTCTTCTCTTTTTCTTCATCTTCATGTCTCTCTATTCATTCACCGACCCTTTATTAACATGCCAATTGGGTCGGTAATGAACTAAAGAGCCTTGTCTCTTTCAATTCCCTTTCTTTCACCTCTTTTTGCGTTTGTTTTCTTCGTCTTTTGTTGCTTTTTATCGAAGCAATGGATCGTGTCAGAGGGTTGACTCTGGTTATTTTCACCTTGTTTCTCGTTGCTGTTGATGCTTCTGATTTGGTTTTCCCTGTTGAGCGTAAATTCAAAGCACCTCATCAGAGTTTAGATGCAATCAAAACTCATGATACTAATAGACGTGGGAGATTTCTATCTGCTGTTGAGATTCCTCTCGGTGGCAATGGTCTTCCTTCTTCGACTGGGTTTGTTTCTGTCACCTGTTTTGTTTTTTTGTTTTATGGTTTTTTCAAATTCAATCATTGAATGTGTGTTTGGAAATGGTTTTGTTGCATTATGATAGTTTCACTGTCACATTAGTTTTCTTGGATTAGTCAATGCAATTGTTGGAATTGTCTGTAGTGAAGGGACTAATTTGATAGATGATTTTCAATTTTGGGGTAGTGGCGTAGATGGTTGTTCTGTTTGTCTGTTATCTCTTTACAATTTTTGGGGATCATATTGAAATTTTGTTAATTGATTAAATTCCGATGAGTCTGGCTCAATTGGTTGTGGGGGAAATCCAAGGCTCCATCCTTGCATAAGGGAGGAGCGAGCTTTAGGCTGTGACCTGAACATCCGAGCGGAGATTAGTCCTAGAGCCGGTCCAATGGACCAAGACTCGTGGGGGTAATATGTGGAGCCACAGGGATGCCAAGGGCCCTAATTATAATATAATAAAATAAAAAATGGCTATATCACGAAGGTTATCCAGAGACTCACAAATGTTTGCGTGATATTGTCTCAAGATTTCTCAAACTTTCAAGTCTCAACCCGTGTTTGCTGGAAAGCACATGAGGGTAGATTTCAGTGTTCATTATCTTTCACAAAATTGCTTTTCGTGATAAACATTTTTCCAAATAAAATTGATGATTAGTTTGGTTAAACTTAAAACTTTTGATGTCTGTTTCTGGCATTCTGCTACAAATCATCTAGTATGGTAAGGAAGAGAAAATTATCACTAATCCCTATTTTCATTTGGATGCTTAATTAATGTTTTTTTTTTTTAATTTCGTTTGTTTAGGCTGTATTATACCAAACTAGGGCTTGGCACTCCTGCTAAGGACTTCTATGTACAAGTTGACACAGGAAGTGACATTCTTTGGGTGAATTGTGTAGGCTGCACAGCATGTCCCAAGAAGAGTGGTCTTGGTGTATGTATCCAGCCTAAACTTGTTTAATTTTCATGCTTTCTTCTTGAAATATAAGAATGTTGAGAGTTTCTGCTTTGATTATCATGTTGCAGATGGATTTAACCCTCTATAACCCAAAAACCTCGCAAACCGCAAGTGTGGTACCTTGCGATGATGAATTTTGCACTTCCACATATGATGGTCCAATTTCTGGATGCAAGCAAGAGATGTCCTGTCCGTATGGCATAACTTATGGAGATGGAAGTACAACCTCTGGTTCCTATGTGAAGGATTCTCTTACATTCAGCCGAATAAGTGGTAATCTCCAAATCTCACCAGAAAATAGCAGTGTGATTTTCGGGTAAGTACGATTTATAATATTTTACATCACACACACAAATATGCGTATGAATAATTGAAACCGTATTAATATTCTAACCATGGTTTTATCGTTTTTTTTCTTTGTAGCCACTTTACTTTTATTTCTTTCTGAACTTTCACTTGATGACAGATGCGGCGCAAAACAATCCGGGACGTTGAGTTCATCGTCTGAAGAAGCCCTTGATGGAATAATTGGTTTTGGACAATCAAATTCTTCTGTACTTTCACAGCTTGCTGCATCTGGAAAGGTGAAAAGGATATTTTCGCACTGCCTTGATAGTATCGAGGGAGGAGGAATATTTTCCATAGGACAAGTGGTGGAGGCCAAATATAACACCACTCCATTGGTACCAAGAATGTATGTGTATAATCTTAGCTTTTTATTCCCATGCCATGTTATTTTATATCCAGTTTAGGTTTTGGGATTGGAATTATGTCGTAACTGTAATCTATTGACCATTTCAGGGCACACTACAATGTGATCTTGAAGGACATGGAGGTAGATGGGGATTTTTTAGATCTCCCTACAGACATATTTGATTCTGGAAGTGGAAGAGGAACAATAATAGATAGTGGTACCACCTTGGCTTATCTTCCAGCTTCGGTTTACAACCAGATAATGACGAAGGTAAGTGTGACTTCAGAGATAAGTAAAAAATCAGTTTTTTCTCACTTGAATGCTCATGATCGTTCTTTGTGATAGCTTATGGCTCGGCATCCGGGACTACAATTGATTCTTGTTGATGAGCAGTTTACTTGTTTTCATTTTCCCAACAAGTACGATACTTATCTTTGCAACTTTATTTTATTTTGTATAGGAAACATTAATTAATGCGTGACATTCTTTTTTCTTTCTCAATATCGTTATTGTTAAATTGATGACTTTTACTGTGTAATATAGCACGTTAGATGAAGAATTTCCAGTTGTCAAGTTTCACTTTGAAGGGCTCTCTCTGATAGTTTATCCACATGACTACCTGTTCTTGTATAAAGTAAGTATAAATTTGTTTGGTTATATACTCTTAAATTCAATGTGTCGAGTGAATTCGTTTCGTAAATTTGTTTCAGATGCTAAAAAAAATGTTCCTTGATAATATTTTCTTCTCATTGTCTTCCAGAAAGATATTCGTTGTATTGGCTGGCAGAAAAGTAACACACAAACTAAGGATGGAAAAGACCTGATTCTTCTTGGAGGTAAAGTTTAAGATTTTAATTATAATTTCATATAGTGACTCTATGGGAAAGTTTGTATACAAGCATGATTTGTTAATTTTGATCCTCTGTCTACAGATCTAGTGCTGTCAAACAAATTAGTTGTATATGATCTTGATAACATGACAATTGGATGGACTGATTTCAATTGTGAGTTTTTCACTAACTTTTTTCAGCTTCTTTCATTTATGACTTTTCTGTTATTAGCTTTTTCACTTAAGTTTGTTGATACTGATATGTACATAGACTGATTTTGCATTTTCTTCTTGATTCTTTAGGTTCTTCCAGCATTAAAGTGAAGGATGACCAGAGTGGAACTGTATATACAGTGGCTGCAAAAGATCTTTCTTCAGCTTCCACTGTGTTTATTGGAAGAATATTGACATTCTTTTTGTTGATTATTGCCATTCTAAGCACTTAAATAACTAGTTTTTTTTTTTTACTACATATGAGGAATGACATTTATTTGGTCTTCTTGTAACATAATTCTTTGAATGTTCTGCTTTGTGCATATATTTTTAAAACCATTTCTCATATAGAGCTAATATAACTGGGAAAAGGGCGAGCAAAACTTTGCTCCAAGTTTTTTATAGAGAATTATAATTCATAGAAACGACTTAATTTATACACAGAAACACATGTTTCATTGTAACTTTGACAAAACAATGTTATGATTATAAGCTGATAATTACACATTATACTATAGATATCTTCATGAATAAAAAAGAGACCGAAAATGCAGAACATAACAAGACAAACATGATTTTTACAAAGTTATCCTCAGAACCTGTACCACAAAATAAATAACTGCCAAGAGGAGTGCAATCTGGTATATATCTTGCTGAAAGCTGTCGTCCCTCTGAAAGAACTGAATAAAACCACAAGCAAATCAATCATCTCGTGAAAGAAAACGATGAAGCAACACATAGTTTAAGATTCTTGTAAATAGCAGAAGAACTCACCTTGGTTGGATCACCAGAAGGATCTGGATAAATATCCATGTTCTCTTTCTTGGTTGAAAAATTAGCACTCAAATTCTTGGCAATATCAGCTAAATCTTTTATAGATTCAACAGTAGCAAAGAGAACACGCGATGTCCAGAAAAATGCCTGAGCACTAGCAGATGAAGCTGATAAGTCCCATAATTCTTCATGCTGAATGACTTGTCCACTGATTTGGTTTAGAGTGAATTTGGAAGTAACTCTGAGTATGAGATCTCCTCCCACCCCAGCTAGAACAGATTTAGGCTTCCCTCTAATTGTCCACTTGATCCTTAAAACACTTGTTGACAGCATGGTCATTTCCTGCACAGTCTGTTGACCAAACCAAATAGATTTCATAAAAATCATACCTTTCTCTTTATAATTTTTTTAATGTTAATGAAGTGTTTATAATTTTTTAATGTTAATAAAGTGAAAAGAGAAATCTAATAGAATGCTAAAATGGAATGTTACAATAAAAGTTCAACTCAAATATGGTGCACTTAATTGATACCTGTTTAATAACTTCTACTCTTGGACAATTACCTAAGGTGGAACTTTTTAAAGGAATGTGGAATATCTGAGAAGGGAATGAACTTTGAAATTGAAGACACAGTTCATCCGCGCAATAGGATTTGTTTCAAACTCTACTATGCTATATTGTTGCTATAGCTGATATTTTAAAGGATTTTGTATGCAACAGGTATTGCAGAAAAATATTGGTTTATTAAAATTTGACTGTCTATAACTATATCAGATGGCTTGATTAACACCACCACCAACAACAAAAAGGGATGATATTGCTTCTCAGGTGAGAGATACGAGTTCTTCATGTTGGCATAGTGGTGGAGGCTTGAGTCTTGAGAGTGTGCTCTTCTTAAGGTCTCAGATTCGAATCTTGCTAAGTGCAATCAATCCTTGTGTTGGGCCAGTTCATACGGCTTTAAATGGGACCCCCGCTAGTGGACGGTGGAATTGATCCCCTTGAATTAGTCGGTCGCAACGCCGGAAGTGCTTCTTCACATATTTGTTAGAATTTGAAACCATAAAATCTCGTACTTGTAATCGGTTACTGTTGCTACATAACAGAAAAATAATAACAGTGGTAACCGGTTACTGCATATGTGTAATCAGTTACACCCTATACATAATTACTTATTTTCAACTTATTTGACTTTTTCTCACACTTGTAACTAGCCTGGTAACCGGTTACAGCACTTGAATTATGTATTTTCATTTAACACACCACCTTAATTCAAGTGCTTCAAGTCTTTCATGTCCATGTTCACCTTCTACCTTTTAAACACTTCAATTGTGACTTCCTTGGTCAACAAATCAACCACTTGTTCTTCACTTTTACAATATCTCAATCTCAACTTTCCTTCACTAACAAGTTTCGTCAAGTAGTGAAACCTCATACAAATGTGTTTACTACTCCCACGTGCAATTGGATTCTTAACCAGATTTATCGCAAAAACGTTATCAACAAAGAGCATTACAGTGTCACCCTCATTGTTGCCTAACTCCTTCAATAGATTCATTAGTCGCACGCCTTGACACGCACACAATGAAGCGGCAATATACTCGGCCTCACAAGACGAGAGTGCTACTGCCGATTCTTTCTTCGAACACCATGAGATTGATGTTCCACTGAACCTAAAGATGTACCTAACTGTAGATTATCGATCATCTTTATCTCCGCACCAATTGAAATCCGTAAAACCGAGTAAATTGCATTTTGTGCCGGTGTCCAATGTGAGAAAGAGAATTCGGTCTCTCCATGAATCTACTCACAATACTGACACTAAACGCCAAGTTTGATCGCGTGTTGCACAAGTAACGCAAGGATCCAATCAGCCTCCTATACTGAGTTGGATCAACATCTTGCTCATCCTCATTCTTCGACAACTTTAGCCTCGGTTTTTCCAGTGTAATGGTAGTATTACAATGCTCCATTTCAAACTTCTTTAATATCTCAAACACATACCTTCTTTGGTGCATGAGCAGTCCTCTTTTGAACATGTGGAACTCAATTATGTCATGAGATTAAGGCCGATCATCTCAAACTCTTTCATAAATTCACTTTTAAACTTAAAAATGCACTCTTTGCCGCTGTCCGTAATCAGCATGTCCGTAATCAGCAAGACGTCTACATTTATACAAAGGATTATCATCCCTTTACATGTATCTGTTTTCATAAGTCGATAAGAATTGGTTTACTTCAAAATTCGAGTTCGAGTTTGACACAATTTTTTTTAACTCAAACTCAACTAATTTTAAATTTACAAACAACTCGTTAGATTCATCTCATTAGATTACCTTGTATGCTTCACAGATTTATAAATCGTTTTTTAATTTTTAATTTATATATTTGACATTTTAGATTAAGATTTTTTTAAAAAAAAAATATTGAACTAAAATAAAAAGTTATAAGATTGAAAAAAAAATAGAAGACTAATCAAATTGACCCATGAACCTACTAAATTAAATTATACATGGTTTAAGTTCAACTCAGTGAATGAACTTAGTTCTTTATTCATATCCAATACATTTATGAATTAAGTTTAACGATTTAGTTGTTAAATCAAATTTTAAACTATATTCGAGTTTGATTCATTATCAATCCTAAAAACAATAAAACAATAATAGAAGAAGAATAGAAATAAAGAAGAAGAAGAGAAGAGAAAGTAGTGAAGACCTCCTAGGACAAACGGAAGAAAAGTAGAGAGGAAAAATAGATGAAGAATAAAAGAAAAAAGGCAGATTAGGTGAGAAGCGAAGAGGAGAACAGAAGCAAAGAAGAGAAGCTGAGGTATGAAGAAAACACTTGGTTTGAAAAAGAAATAGCTAATAGAAAGGAGAGCAGAAACCTAACCTTTAAATTATAATTTGATATTTCATTCAAGTTTTTTAATTTTCATTTTCGTAGATATTTTAATTTCTATTTATTTATTAATTTTAAAATTAATTAAAACCTTAATTAGTAAAAATATTATTCTTGTATGTCGAGAGATAAATAGTGAAATAAAATAATAAATAAATCTCCCTAAATCAGCTAAGTTGCTAGTTCCTAGTTCCGTAGAGGTTACTTAACCAAAATAAATAATTATAAATATATAAAATAAATATATAGAGAAAAAGATCAATGGCTTCTTAGAAGCATGATTCCATAATTTAAACTCACCACAGATGGATTGTCTAGTGCAATGGCTGCCCATAGAGGTCTCTTATACTTCTCACGACCTGTAAAACTCCTGATAGGATCCTGTAAACAATAACAACATCATAAACATATAAGATTAAAGGCCTAAATATGGAACTTCTTTGATTTGTTACATTACAGAAAACTCATGTTGTTTCCTTGATGAACAGAAGGTATTACAACCTTATAAGTGACAGAAACTGCATATGTTCCGAGCGCTCGATTCCCGCTCCTTAGCTCGAATATATCTCGAACAAGTTGTCTTGCAGTGGATTCTATTGAAGGACTACTGTTGCACTCAAACTCATTGCACAGCTCACCAAAGTTCATACTGTCAACTATTTTATCAGCCTCTGAGTATGGTGTTTCAGTTTTGGCATCAGATGACAGTTCAGTCCTATCAGAATCATTGACAACTGCAAAACACTTGTGAAATTATTGGTGAGAACTTATGGAAACCGTTTGAAACATGTTGGTAAGATATATTTTCAGCTTATTTCTATAAGCTCTTCAGAATTGCTTAACTTATCTTGTGCTATGGAAATAGTTTATAACTAAGTAGTGATTTTGTTTATGTTGGAAGATATTTGGTTGTGAGAAAAAATGAAATTACCTCGCAACGAAGAGTGGTTGTAGTAGTGGCGATGACGGAAGGAAAAGAGGGTGCATGTAGGAATTTTGGATGCATTGTTCCGGTGGAATGCGGCGGAGGAAAGAGAAGAAGAAAGTGCGGGTGTGAGATTCATGTCTCCCCATTCCGTGGCGGAGAGTGTGCTGTTTGGGATTACAATTACAAAGCAGATACGTTGAGAAATAAGAGCCTCTTCTTTTTCATGCTTCATTTTTGGATAAGGTGGGTCCATCAATTTTAAAATACAATACTACCCTTTATTTTATTTTACATTTTGGTTTAATGGGATTTATACCAAATGTCATAGATTCTTGCATAGTGAATCTTTTTAGATCCACAGTAGAGAAGATTTATGATTATGTATATTGAAAAAAAGCATGCTCACTCTTCATGATTTTGGGTTCATGAAATTCTCTAGTTCCACTTCTTTCACTTTTAAATAAAATGAAAAAAAAATTCGCTAATAAAAAAATATAAAAGAATAAACAAAAAAAGATTCGGGGGCGAAATGAATCAAAAGTATTGAATTTGTATTTGAATTCAATGTTTTTGAAATTTATGGAATGTTGTATATGATCAAACATTTTTGCTTTATTAACTAGTTTTTGAAAGTAAAATTTAATCTCATTTAACTAGGTATTTGAGTTAGATTAAAAAAGACACTGTGAGAATGTAACTTAGGACTCGCATTATATTGAAGGTTCGCATTGTCAAGGTTCTCAAACTATTGGATTTATTTGTATGCATAAGCATCTTAATCTCGTGAGCTAGTTTTTTTAGAATGATATTCAAATTTATTTGACAAAATAATCCTAAAATATCACATTTAATTTGTTTCTTTATTTTGTTGTATGTAAAACAAAAAGTTCGAAACAATTTCTCTAGCATTTCTAGTTGTTGTATGATTGTAAATATTGTTTACTTATGTTAACTCTTGTATTTTGCTCATACCTCCACTTGTTTATGCACAATTCCTTGAAGAATTTGGTATAGTTTGAAATTAGTTTGGTTGTCTTAAATAGCAGAATATTCATCTCAAACTTCTTTAAAATATCAAATGTTTCTCTCTCTAAGTTCGTCTGAACCATCTTCTTAGTATCTACGAATCTATGGAGAAATGAAAGTGGTATGGACGATTCATCATCTTCATCATATGCAAGTGCATGAGTTAGCTTATTTGTTTTCTTTTCTTTTTTTCACCACTCTTTTTTCTATATATGTTTCAATTTCTTTGCCAAACCTAGGTATGCTTGCATTTACATTTGGATCTGGTATAAATCGGGGAAGAAAACTTCCATACTCTTGAACTTGTATCCAATTCAAGGAATTTGCTAATTGTCCAATCTTTACTTCCAAGTTTTTAATAGTCACATTATTTTCTCTGTCGAAATTGGAGATTTTTAGAAGTTATATGTTCAATGAGATCTTCCAATGATGGATAAGATTTTGTAGTTATTTATTGTTATATGTAGATAGTGTTGGCGTGTGTTGTTGTTGACATTAAGTAGAGGTGTTCCCCTGTCTCACGTTTAAATGATTTCTCTAGCCGGAATTGTATTTGCTAGAAGACAAATCATGATTGGGTTAAGGCATGTCATTTAAATGTTGACTGCATGGGCTCGAGGGGTGTCAATAATATCGCCCTTATTCAAAGTAGGACACACATATGTATGGTGTTTTACAGACGTTTAAATATTACAAACTATTATTGTTTGAGTTAGATCTACCGATATCTTTTTCGTTAAGATAATAAGTTCATCAAGTTTACCCTTCATGTTTTTATGGATAGTGGTTTGCATCTTATTGACTCTCCTTACTATCACCCATGAATTGCTCTTAGTTGTAAATTTTTTGGAGTTATTTGATATATTTTCAATTAGGTTTCTTGCATCTACAAAAGTTTTATCTACAAGTGATCATCCACTAGCCACATTCATGATATTTTAATCCATAAACAACAACCTTTTATAAAAGTATTAGATGGATAGTTATTTGTATATTTGACGGTGTGGACAATTTAAACACAACTTCTTGAATCTCTCTAAGGTCGAGAGTATGAAGTTTTAGGGTTTAAGAGTTATATACATCGACTCAAGTCAGAAGTTAGCATTTATAGGAAGGAAGTTAGGGCTTATATGAAGGAAAATCATGATATAAAATGCAGTGACAGACAAAATTTTCCCTTAGATGATCCTTACATATGAGCATGATTAGTTATAGATTGGTTACCTCTTCTGTCTTTCGACTATTGATGCATGGTGAGATGAGCGATCACGAGCGCTGAATAACAATGCATCTACTCAGTCCACATGAACAGAGTGTCTTCAATCTCAGTTCTCGATACTACGAATAAAGATATTGAGTGTGTGTGTGTGTGTGTGTGTGTGTGTATGGAAGATATAGTGTGTGTGTGTGTGTGTGTGTGTGTGTGTGTGTGTGTGTGTTAGAGAGAGAGAGAGAGAGAGAGAGAGAGAGAGAGAGAGAGAGAGAGAGAGAGAGAGAGAGAGAGAGAGAGAGAGAGAGAGAGAGAGAGAGAGTGTGAGTGAGTGAGTGAGAGAAAGAGAGTGAGAGAGAGAGAGTTTACAAATAGGGTTTCATAAATTGAATTTCATAAAGTGAGAAAACCTCATCACAATGGTTCTTTTTATAGAATCTCTTGTATGAGATGCAAGTTGAACAAGCCCAATTAAGTGCATTATACCTTACAATGTATTGTATTACACTTAAGTGCATTGTATCTTAGGGTATTTCATATTCCACTTAAGTGCATCATACCTTACGATGTTCTTTATTTCACTTGAGTACATTGTACCTTATAATATTTTGTGTTCCACTTAAGCACATTGTACCTTATGATGTACCATGTTTCTCTAATTAATATTAGTGTTTCATAATACAACATAATCAAATAAGCTTCATTTATTCATTTTATCCTCATTAATATGTCCTTATGTTCGTCACTGATTGTGAAATTTAGTTGATGTGTTAAAGGAAAGATAGATATACTAATTTGGTACTCGTGACATTGACAATTATATTAAATCACATATTTAATATAATAAATAGTGAGTGGTATTTAGACACATATTATTGCTATCCAAGTCACAAAAATATCATGTGATTTGACAAAACCTTTTTTATGATAATGTATATATGTATAATTTCCCTTTTGCCCTCGTGTATACATTGAACACGGTGAATATGCTAATCGATTAGAAATATATGTTAATTGATTGGAAAAATTGTCTTGTCTATCTAATCGATTAGAAGATTTGTACAATTGACTGGCAAGATGATAATCGATTGTATAATCAACAAAGCTAGCACATTAATGACTTGCAATTGCTCTATATCCAAGTTTTCCTATTTGGGCTTTACATACATTTATATTTGAGCTCTTTAATCGATTAAAGCATTTTGTTGGTCGATTAGATGATTAATTCAACCCATGGATCATTTTCTTTCTTGGCCTTTCCAACTACTATATAAAAAGAGTCTCTCTCACTTTTCTATCACACCACTTTCCAACATTTTTCATATTTCTTTGAAATTTATCTCTTTCTCTCTTTTGAAAAATATTTTTTATTTCACATCTAATTCTCTTAGTGATACTAAGTGAAGTTTTACTTGTGAGCAATACACTTTTATAAGCGGATGTGCTGCTCGTCAGAGTTTGGAACATAAGCTTTTCTCCCGTCATATGACGTGATGTTTCCTTGTTTCTCCCTTTAGGCATATTTGTAGTAAACACAATCTCAAATTTAGGTACCCATAATCTTATGGGTCCCCTTTTGTTAGTTCTTACAGACTTCATTTTATTTTGAGCCTTTTTCCTGATAAAGGGGTCCAGACTCATTTCATACTTTTTGCTTATAAAGTTTTGTCTTGGATAAGTTTTGACTTTGTCTTTTGAACCCTTTAGAACCTTTGATTCATAAGTCTTAGGTTCAGATATCTTTAGAACCTTTGACTTAAGATTTTTGAGTTATGAATTCTTCAGAACCTTTGATTTCTGAATTATAGGTTCAGATTTCTTCAGAACCTTTGACTTAGAAGTCTAAGGTACCGATTTGTTCGGAACCTTTGATTATGTCATCTTAAGTTCTTATTGGTTCAGACTTTTGCCTTTATCGGAAGCAGACACAAAATAAATTTTCAGCACTGATTGAAGAAGAAGCGTCTGAGTGTTTTTCCAAGAGTTAACCTTTTGGATTAACATATTTCTCATTATAACCCATACCTTTTCCTTTGCTATTTATTACTCCATGTATATCATGGAAGCAAGTTTTGTTCTCTCAATACCGGTTATGATAAAATCTTGAAGAGCCATTTAATGCTCACTCAAGGTTTTATCAAACACTTTATTTACTCGAGCAATGTCATCTTTTTCCAAAGATTCAATTTTATCTTGAGAAGTTTTTAGTTCCTTTTTAGAATATATGTTGAATGTCAAACTTGCTTTAAATTGATCCTTATTTATTGGCTTTTTTCAACTCTTTTGTTATGTTTTGTTGGATTTACTCCATGATATCATGCTATTCTTCAATATTGTTGAAAATACCTTTAGTTGCTTTGATTTATGTGTTATTGTACAGAAATTACATAAAACATCAAAGTGTTAGACACAAGTAATTGGACAAGGAAGCCAAAGGAAAAGAAGAGATTCAGCATGTTCGTTGGACGAACAACCAGCAAGGAGTAGCAGCGAATATTTGTTCGGCGAACTCATGGTGAAGCCCCAACGAACCCTCTCAATTTAGAGGCAGTAAGAAAAGGGCATTAAGTTCGTTGGGCGAGCTGGTAGTGAATGTTCATTATTGTGAGGTCTCAGTGAAAGACCAGCGAACCATCCCCGATTTGAGGCAGTAGCTAAAGGACCATAAGTTCGTTGTGCGAACTTGTAGCGAGGTAGTTCGCATGGCAAACAATTGCTTGCACAACGAACTTTAGATATTTCTCAAAGGCGGTTTAACTGTTCAGAGGCACTTCAGGTGCCTAAAAGTGTGTTTGCTCGACGAACTTAACAAATTCCAAAAGTACTATATAAGTACTTTTCGCAATTTTTGGGGATCATAACCCATTTTTCACACCAAAACTTCATTTCTCAGCATTTCT